AAAGAAAGAAAGAAAGAAAGAAAGAAAGAAAGAAAGAAAGAAAGAAAAAAGAAAAAAGAAAGAAAGAAAGAAAGAAAGAAAGAAAGAAAGAAAGAAAGAAAGAAAGAAAGAAAGAAAGAAAGAAAGAAAGAAAGAAAGGGAAGTTGGAACAAAGACAAGGAGGAAGAGACAAGCAAATAAACAAAAGAATGAAAGAAACAAAGAAAGAGAGAGAGGAGAGAAAGACAGAGAGACAGAGACAGAGACAGAAAGACAGAGAGAGAGACAGAGAGAGAGAGGGAGGGAGGGAGGGAGGGTGGAAGGGAGGAATGAAGGAAGAAACAAACAAACAAACAAACAAAAGTAAAGAATGAAAAACAAAATGGCAACAATTAAAAAGCCATACTCGTGATTCCACTAAGGTGTGACATGATGAGCAAAGGAATTTATTGAGTTATTTACAAGAGCATGTGGGAGGAGTTCCTTATAAGAGCATGGAAGCATTACAAGCAGATTCATCTCCTAAAAGATTCCATCATGGTGGAATCCTAGGAGAGGTATGTCACTGGAGTTTCCTTTGTAATTTCACATTGGTGAGTTTTTAGTTAAATTAATACAAGTTAATGCCATCTGAGAGGAGGGAACCTTAGCACATAAAATGCTTAAAACAGATTGTGGATCATATTCTTGTTTGATGAATGCTGTAGAAAAGCCCATCTCACTGGGACTGGTGGCATCCCTGGGATGGTGGTACAGGATGTAAGAGTGAGAACTGAGAGAGTCATCAGGATAAACCAGTATTGTTCCTCTACAGCCTCTACTTTAGTTCCTACCTCCAAGTTCCTCCCTTCAAGTGCTGCCCTAACTTCCCTTTCATTATGTACTACAACTGTAAGCAGAAAGAATCCCCATGCACTCCAAATTCCTTATAATAATGGTGTTTCTCATGACAAAAGGAACCTAAAAGGAACACACTTGAAGACATGTCTACCAAAGAATATCCAGGACCCAAGAAATTGTGTATTATATAGTAGAAGAGAAGTATTGTAAGATGTCTTCCTTTCATGAACACTATGATCACCTTCTAATTCTGGGAAAAAATATGGCAATTTGATGGACCAAGCAATATAACATGCTGAATTATACGTATCAAAATTTTTAACAGACACAAAGGTCTAAGAAATGCTGATTCACTCAGATCCTTGTTTGATCTTTACTGTTATATTAAGTACACTTAAGAACTACAGGATTTTTTTTCTGTGACTCTTTATATATACTAATATGTTATGTTCAACACAAGACACTTGCTTAGAAGAATTGAATCAACTTTAGCGCAAGATATCAGGGACAAAAAAAAATATAGATAAACTTTGTGAACCTTGAGTTCATGTTCCATGGGTATATTTACACAGGATGTTACACCATCAGACTCATCTAGTCAGTAATGAGTTTAGAAGTTATATGTTAACTTCTTGATTGATTGAACTTGCCATAAAAGCAGGAAATATGCAAAGAATAACAGATTTCAAAAGCATTCCCTTTCAGGAAGATGTCTCTGAAACAGACTTCAGTTTTTCTGTTGATACAGCTCATATGCTACTTTAGACATGGAGCCTGTGGCAAAGTGCTAGTGTGGCCCACAGAATACAGCCATTGGATAAATATCAAGATTATTCTGGATGAACTTGTGCACAGAGGTCATGAAGTCACCGTTCTTGTATCTTCTGCTTCTATTCTCATCCAGCCTACCAATGAATCTTCTATCAATTTTGAGATTTACCCTGTACCTATGAGTAAAGATGATCTTGCATTTGCTTTTGGAAAATGGGTAGATGAATGGACATATGACTTTCAAAAACATTCATTCTGGACATATTATTCAAAAATGCAAAAAGTCTTCAGTGAATATTCAGACATCATTGAAAGTTTCTGCAAAGCAGTAGTTTGGAACAAGAGTCTTATGAAGAAACTCCAAGGATCTAAGTTTGATGTCATTCTCGCAGATGCCATAGGTCCCTGTGGTGAGCTGCTGGCAGAACTGCTTAAGACACCTTTGGTGTACAGTCTCCGCTTCTGTCCTGGAAACAGATATGAGAAGTACAGCGGGGGGCTTCCACTCCCCCCTTCCTATGTGCCTATGGTTCTGTCAGAATTAAGTGACCATATGACATTTGTGGAAAGGGTGAAGAATATGTTACAGGTGCTGTATTTTGACTTTTGGTTCCAAACATTTAATGAGAAGTCCTGGAGTCAGCTTTACAGTGATGTTCTAGGTAAACTGGGCCTTTCATTGTCACTGGGAAATTCTGACTTGATGTTACTTTGAATGAGAATGTGTAAGGTGAATATAAAGTCACAGAATGAGATTGTTCATTGTGAGCTGATCAAGTAAAAATAGAAAACAAGAGAGAGCCTCAAAACAAGGCAAATACTGTAGAGTAACTGATCAGAACACTCCAGAACTTAGTAACCATGTAAAGTGAGACAAGGAAGATTTCACTTTATAATCGTTTGATCTACTCTATGTTTTGCTCAGTGAAACAAACTCCAGGTTTCATTGAGTGTTTTAATGACTGTAGGAGAGAACACTACAGATTCATAATTTGCTACCTCAACTATCTGTGTATCACTGAAGAAAACACATCTCCTTAAAAATTAAAGAATCTATCAAGTATATCATGAAAGGTTTTTCACAATTAGATAGTATCACTAGAACCAGAAACAGTTAAGGTAACTTGCTTTTCTTAGAATTTGAAATGTCTCAGATCTGTAAAACTTACAAAAGTCTTAAAGCCTTAAATCTTGCTATAAAATGCACATATTTATTAATTTGTTTTTAAAATATATTTTCATTAAATAACATACTACCTAAATTAATAGTAGAAATATATTAAATGTTAACTATTTATGGAAATATCCAGCTTTAACTTTGATGGATATGGCTAAGTGTTACTTGTAGTCTCCTGTAATAGACACAGTAAAGGAGTTATAAAGAAAACTTACCTTAAATATTATCACAGCCATACCTTACATATTATCACGGTGTATTTCAAGAATCACAAATCAAGAGAATAACTATGAAATTGTATAAAGTAGACTAAATATTCTATGAAAGCTGTTTTTCTACTCATTTTCAAGATTCCTTGCAAGACTCAAAATGTTTAAAATTCAGGGATGTAACTTTGCAAACTAATAGAATTTTCACACAATTAATATTTATGTTAATATGATTATATCATAAATCATAATTGAAACATCTTACATTGCTTGTCTACATGATCTCACCTTACAGAAATCACCTGCTCTATTTCAGATAAACTTCTTTAACCATTGTATATTTTCATTTTGGGGGGATGCAGGGAGACCCACTACATTAACTGAGATGATGGGGAAGGCAGACATATGGCTCATTCGAACTTTCTGGGACCTGCAATTTCCTCACCCATTCTTGCCTAACTTTGACTTTATTGGAGGATTCCATTGCAAACCAGCCAAACCACTGCCTAAGGTAACTATATTGTTTCCCGTGATAAACAGTTTTTCCTAGAAACAATTCTTCATCAGATGTTTGATTTCTTTCCAGATGTTTGGTTTCCTGAGAGGTATAAAAAATGAATTAGAGCTCTCTGACAATTGACATATATAATATTGCCTTACATCTCTGGGTCTAATTACTGTTAATCAAAGTGTCAAATCACTTTAGAATGTTGTCAGTGATTTCAGGATGTTTAGGTAACTCATAAAAAATAATTTATCTTCTCTTCAAGAACATATAATAAATGACAGAGATGTTTTGAACAGCTAAAGAAACAAAGAATCAATTTCTTCATTAAAAAGAAATTATATTCTACTTGAAAATATTATACTGATGATGAACTATAGTATGCAGTGTAATAAATGTTATGTATTGTATAATTAGAGATAGATAGACAAGTTAAAGAATTATCCAACAGAGATCAGAGGTAATGTCCTCAAATCCTTGTGTTGTTTCACTGCCTGGCCAGTGTACAGGGTGATATTAGCAGATGAAAAGAAGAGAGAGGAAAACAGACAAATGCCAAGAACTATAGACTTAACTAAGCAGGTTATAACATGGCATGTAGGCGGTGTCAGACAGCTTCATGTGTGTGAGTTCCACACACGGCTCCCTTTTACAGTTTCCACTTCCTTGTATTCTTTCTACATTTAGGTCTTGCGGGTATTTTGGTTTTGTCTTTGTAGTTTGCACATATAAAAAAGAAAACAGCCCTTATATTTCTATGTCTGGCTTGCTGCTTAACATCATGTCCACTAAACAATAGTTGTTTACCTGAGATTATATAATAATAATATTTTTACTATCTGGGTAAAACATTATTATATATTGTATATTTACCAACACCTTTTCACATCCATCAGTTGAAGAATATCTCAGCTAATTCTATATTAGGGTCATTGTGAACAGTGATGTAGTAAACATTATTGTGTGGATTTTTTTTTCCTTGCAACTATTTCCCTCAGAAATCACCAAAGGATGGCATAGCTTAACTGTATACATCATACTAATGTTACTTATGAGAAGAAAATTATTTATGTCTTTATATTCATATCATTTGACATTTCCAACAAGGATAAATGCATAAGTATTCGATTTCCATAATATCTGTAGGAGCATTTTTATATTATTTAAATAGTAGTGACACTCATTATAACTGGATTATGATGGAATATTGACATACATGGAATTGAATTTTTCTGAAAGCTAAAATTATTGAAAATTTTTCAGATAATTGGAAGCTATTTCAATCTGAGCCTATTTTGGATCATTTGCCTGAACTGATTGGATTCTTTATTCTTTTGATGTTAGAAAGGATTTTTTCCTGAAATCTTATTTTTCTTTTCTTTTTGTCATTGGATATTGTAATTATTTACAGTTGAGATGTGATACTCTTATCCATAGACCCCCCAAAGAACACCCCTATTCCATTCCCCCTCCTCATTTTTGCTTTTATGCCATTTTAATTACATGCAAGTATTAAGATCAGTTCTAGGTTGAGGAACTAGCAATATAATAGATGCAAATATTCAAGGAACAAGCAACACAATAAACACAAGGATTCAAAGAATAAGCAAGAAACTAGACAAAGTTCGGTGATGACTCCCTTGATCACTATATCTAAGGGCTTATCAGAATGATCAAAATATCTGAGTCTTCTACCCTGTCCTAGCCAAAGTCATTTTCATGACTGAAATTACTTCTTAGTTCTAGCCTAAGATTTTGATTCCTGCCTTGCGGGGCGCCGCCTCACCGAAAAGGAGAACGCCACGCTCAGGATTCTTCTGACAGTAGTTTTATTGTTACAGCTCTTTTAGTGTTACAGCTCTCTTAGATGGTAGTGTTACAGCTCTCTTAGATGGTAGTGAGGCGAGGGACCCCAAGCCCCAAAAGCTTATGGCTTATATAGAGCTTTAGGAGACGTGCCACACACTCATTGGCTCTTATGATGTCACCAAATTAGCATACTGGTTTTCGCGCCTTGCGCAGGCGCACATTCAAGCAAGGCTCACAAGAAGAACCAGGAAGCAGGAAACCAGCGCCATCTTGCTATGGCGGACGCGGCTCCTAACACTGCCTGAAATTATTTCTTTATTCTTGCCTAATGTTAGATTCCTGCCTGAAGCCCATTTCCTTTTCCTTGGCCAATGTCAGATTCTTCCCAAGCAACCCCAAAAGCTCACCGCCTCTCCCCATATGTTATTTCATAAACAAGACTGAGCCTGTCTTAGGAAATTCTGACAAGAGTGTCTTCTGTAACACTTTGTGGAACGTGCATTATCAAAAGCAATGGACTTCTACCTTAGGTTGGTAAGGCTCTGTTCATAATATTACCAGTCCTTTGATTTCCAGTCTTTTGAATTAGTAACTCAGTCTGGGGTTCCATTTTCAGTTTCAAGGCATGTACATTAGCTGCCAACATGTTTATGTTGTTAAAGACAAGCTTTCACATGATGGGCAGGAATAAAAGTTCTCCAAGGACAAAAAGAACTACCATGCTAAAGCTGTATATGCCATTGTTAAAGCTTGAATAAAATGGGAATACTGACTTCAGGCCACAGGTAATTTTGTCAGCAACATCTGCAGCATCAATGCTCAGCAGAGCAGCATTCTTTAAATTCATAAGCTCACTATGCAAAGTTAAAACATGCAGAGAGGTGTTAGAATTATGCCAATTACCCTGCAAGTGTCTTTAAACTTTTTGCTAATTATAATGACTATCTTTGTTAATTTAGAAGTAACACAATTCCAATGGTACTTGGTATGATACTCGACCATGTTGGCTCCTTACCCTTAAACTCTGAACCACTTTCCAATAATTTGAATAGGATAAAGAGCATCAATCCCCTGTTCCAAATGTCTAAAACGTCCTGTATAATCAACACATTAGTAACACTTTTTGCTAAATGATTAAGAAAGGTAGCTCTCTTAACTTCTTGTGTCAAAGCAACTGCAGAAGCAGTGGTGATAGCAATTAATGTAATTAAAGCTATTGTACCAGCAATAATCAAGCCGACTACCCTCTTGATTCTGCTTAAAACCTGACTCACTTCTTCTAACACTTGCAAGCTTTTATCCGAATACCAAGGTTCTGTAATATACAGTCAATAAAACAAAAGCTCGTTGATAGACCTCTGTAACAGATGCCAGGTTTCAACACAGTAACACAACTAAAAGTGTACAATCATGAAACTTACATTAAATACTCTAGAAGAATCAGAAGTAATTTTAACTTAAAATTAAAAGAGCCTTAACACACGCACTAACTCTTGTTTGAAATCCAGATCCAGTCTCAACTTTATCTTTTGCTGACATAATATCATAGTGAACTGTAGCTAACTTCCAAATATGTCTCTGAAAATGTCCAGAACCAGCCTTCCGAACAAAGACTGTTATTTCCAATATTGGATTCATTTCTAGACCAGTCCATGATTGAGTACAAATAACTGGTCACATTTACCAAAAATACAAGGCTCATTATAACTTCTCCTTTTGATTCTCTGTCCAACAAGGTCTAAAAGCTTGAGGCAAGGCAAGACCCTTGTCTCATCTATTGTATAGGTAAGCAAAGGTGGGTCGGGAACATACGTCCAATACAGCTTCCCAGTCACCATTGTCAGGGCACTCAGCAAGCTCACAGGTCAGCATCATTCTTTGTCCCAGCTTCAGCATGTCTCACCAAGCACTCTGGCAGTCACTATGCTCCTTCTGCTTCTTGCAGAAAAAACACAAACACATCCTCTTTCCCATATTTAGTAACTGATAGGTATCATGCCTTATGTAAGTAAGTGGATCTTTTCCTTTTACCTAGGCATAAGTATGCCTAGTTGTAGGGTACCATAGACCCTCAGAACAAATTTCTTGGCATCCATTTTTTTTGAAAAAATTCAAAATAAAAACAATAAGATTTAAAAAGATTTGTGGAGTACAGGGATGTACCTCACCCTTTTTTATTTTATGAAAATATTATTTAAAGGTCCATGGGCCACTTCGACAGTCCTTTGTCCTTGAGAATTATAAGGATTCCCAGTAATATGGGTAATGTTAAGTTGTTGAAAAAAGTCTCAAATGCTCTACTGCAATAGCCAATTCCATTATCTGGGTTTTTCTTTTCTTTTCTTCTTTTTTTGTTGTTGTTGTTGTTGTATAATTTATTTATCGACATTTCAAATGTTATCCTCTTTCCCCATCCCCCACCCGAAACTCCTTATCCCATTCTCCTCCTTCTGCTTTTATGAGGGTGTGCCCCCATACCCATTCCAGATTCCCTCCATGAAGCTCCCCAACACTGAGGAATCCAGCCTTCTTGGCACCAAAAACCTTCTCTTCCACTGATGCCTGACAAGGCCATCCTCCACTACATATACAGCTTTAGCCATGGGTCCTTCCATGAGTGTTCCCAGGCTGGCTGTTTAGATACTGGGAGCTCTAGTTGGTTGATAATGTCACTTTCCCCATTGGGACACAAGTCCCTTCAACTCCATCACTCTTCTCTCTAACTCCTCCATTGGAAACCCTGTGATGAGTTCAATGGTTAGCACCATCATCCATCTCTGTATATGTAAGGCTCTGGCAGAGCCAGAGAGGTTTTTTTTGTAATTAACACACTCTCTGAACAATTTACAAATATTCGCCACCTCTTTAGACAATCTCTTCATTTTGATATATTTCTTTTTTCTTCATTAGCTTTTACTATAAAGTACTCTCTTTTTCAATTCCTAATTTATTCCCGGGCTACTGGAATTATTAATACATCACAAGTTTTTTGTATTTTATTTTTTCCCATGTCATAGAGTTTTCTTTTCTTTTTTCTCTTCTTTTCTTTTCTTTTTTTTGACAGTAGAAACATCTTTATTTTTATTTAAAATATACTACAAATTATTTCTATATTTTCAATGTGAAAATTAAAAAAATAAGTTTAATTATTTAATTATATTCCAAATGCTGCTGACCTCCTGGTCTCCCTCTTAGACTTCCTATCTCATCTCTCATCAACCTCTCTCACTCCCTCCCTTCCGTTCTCTTTACACTGCCTCTGTCACTGCTCCTCTCTCTCATTTCTTTCAAATAAATCACCAAAAAGAAAATCAAAGGAATGGACTTAAAAGCAATAGCCCAAAAATACGCAATCAAACAAAAGGAGAGAAAAAAACACGAAGGATAAAAAGCATGGCATTTATTTTGGTTGGCTAAATACTCCTGAACTTAGGGCCTACTCTGCTGGATGATTGATTTAACCAGTTACTCTGTATTAGGGAGAACTGATTTAACCCATTTTTATCAGATATCAATTGTAAATAGCTTCTAAGTTAGAAGTGGAAGTCTGTGACCATTTTCTACTCTCAGTGCTGGACTTCATCTGACTTAAACGTGTGAATGGTTTAGACATGTTGCTACAGTCTCTGTGAGTTTATATGTGCATCAGTCTTATTGTACCTGGTAGACACTAAGATGTCATACATCCCCACTGGCTCTTACAATCTTTCTGCCTCTTTCTCAAGTTGTTTTTAAAATACCTCCTAATGATCCTCTAAATTGAAGTGACCTTTCTACTAACAATACTTTTTATTCCTCTAATTTTTTAACTTTCGTCTATTGTACTAATAGTACAAATGGACTCTCCATGAACACTGAAGACTGAGGCACTGAAGACACTCACTTGTCTTCCCAAAATAATTCCCATAATTTTGTGATTTCCTCTGGTAATGTTTGTCTCCGTCCTTTAGATAATGCTACCCATGCAGTAATATATTTGTGTTGTCACAACTGTCTTCGTAGGAAATGGAAGAATTTGTTCAGAGCTCTGGAGAACATGGTGTGGTGGTGTTTTCTCTGGGATCAATGGTTAAAAACATGACAGAGGAAAGGGCCAATGTAGTTGCTTCTGCTCTTGCCCAGATTCCACAGAAGGTAAGATAAAGTGTCCACTAGGTTCACAAATGTATTATAAGACTGTTAAAGCCAGACAGTGGTGGCACACTCCTTTAGTCCCAGCACTTGGTAGGCAGAGGCATTCGAATTTCTGAGTTCAAGGCCAGCCTGGTCTACAGAGTGAGTTCCAGGACAGCCCAGGCTATAAAGAGAAACAGTGTCTTGAAAAAACAAACAAACAAACAAAAACCAATAAGACTATTGAAAACTGACAGGATTACAGTAGGGAAAATTCCTGTGAAAAGTAAAGTAACTGGGCATTTCTTATGCATCTCAAACATCATATTAAAAAGAAAATTATGAATTGCAGAGGATAGAATGTTAGTCTGTTTCTGATTCACATTATGAGCTGAAAGATCACACTGAGATCCGGCATGGTTGTGCATAGCTGACATGTTGGTGCTTAGAGATCTGAGGTAGGACTTTCTCTTCATATTTACCACCAATTTTCACTTCATGTTCATTCCAAAGCTTTTCTGGTCTATTCCGTGTGTCAATGTCTCAAAAGAAGTGAGAGAAAAGGATAAGTAAAAGAGAGAAAGGCTGACAGGAAGGAGAAAGAGGAGGAGGAAATACTATAATTGGGAATATTATGCTGGGGCTGGAGTGATGCCTCTGTGATGCATGGAGAGCACAGGCTGCTCTTGCAGAGGAACTGGGCTTGATTGCCAGGATTTACAGAGTAGTTCACAAGTGTCCCCAATTCAACTTCCAGGAAATCCAATGTGCTCTTCAAACCGCCAGGTAGAACAATCACAGTGCAGAGAATTACATGCAGGCAAAACATCCACATACAGAAAATGAAACAAGAATGTCTGTAAAGAAAGAGTCAAAATATATTCTTCCTAATTACTGATGTAGGAAAATGTGAAAGAACAGATGAAAAAAGATCCTACGCTGATGTAGGACTAGGATTATGAAGTTATGAGCTTATCAGGAAGAATTCTGTTTCCAGAACATCAAGTGAGCTTGTTTTTCTGGATGGTGAAAGAGATTGGAATTTAAGAAGGAGTCGTGTGTACACAAGGATAACATAGGAAGAATCTAGCAGCTGCCACTCTTTAATTGTATTATTGAATAACTTTCAAACAGTAGCAGTGTTTGGATGTTTGCAAGCTAAATTCACTCTATATCTTGATACCAATTTCTCCTATTATGGAGCTTATTTATTTTATTAAACTCAAAGAATGCAGAAAGTAAAGACTCGCAGTTCACATTCTAATTTGTGAGGATTCTTTTTACTTTAAAACGCTGTTTGATACTAAACATGAATTGTATTCAGAACAAGAGAAAACATATTTTCAATGTTCCTTCTGACATTTTTCCACAGATAGTCCTTAAAAAATTTTATCTGTAAAAACGTAAATTTAATTCTTGGTAATAAATAAATTATTTTTAGAAATAGTAAATTGTACCATATGAATCAAAATAAACTCAATTATAATAAGGAGCCTATGGAACATGAAAATATCGGTAAAATAGTGTGCTTATGACTTAAAAAGACGTAATATTGAGAATATATGATATATATATACCATATATTGCATTATTATGAAATATACATAATCATAAACTGTTAATTGATCATGATTATGACAATAATGATTATATTAACTGCCTAAAAATTTCATGTATACACACACGAATTTGTCACTAATTAGCACACATATAAAATTAGTATAATTAAATGTCATGCTCAAGTTATTATGAAGCCATGTACAAACAATGTATTGTTTATTTCAACCTCTTAATATTTCATACTATTTTAGAATTCCCCTCTCTTAAATTTCATTCTCCATCATCTGGATAATGCTCAACTGAGTAATCTCAAATAACCAGAATCAAAATATTCCCAAGCCTTGAGATTTCTGTAATTAAGTAAGGTATTGTCTGTGTGTAACAGGTTCTGTGGAGATTTGATGGTAAGAAACCAGACACCTTAGGATCCAACACTCGGCTCTACAAGTGGATCCCACAGAATGACCTTCTTGGTAAGGCAAATGTCACTACAGGTTTGTGGCTATAATAATATACTTACTTGAGAACAGTCCCCTTCTGAGCCTACATATTTCCTCTCTCTTTAATAATATGATCAATAATTATGTAAAACTTCTTCTCACCATAGGTCATCCAAAAACCAAAGCTTTCATAGCTCATGGTGGGACCAACGGTATCTATGAGGCGATCTATCATGGCGTTCCTATTGTTGGTATTCCCTTGTTTGCGGATCAACCTGATAATATTAACCACATGGTAGCCAAGGGAGCAGCTGTTAGAATGGACCTCAACACACTGTCAGCTACAGACCTTCTCACTGCCTTGCAGACTGTCATTAATGACCATTCGTGAGTCCGTTTGCTTCTTTGCTTGCTTGCTTGTTTATTTGTTTGAATTTGTTTTTTTTCTTTTTTTTGTTTTTTGTTTTGTTTTGTTTTGTTTTGTTTTGTTTTGTTTTGTTTTTGTTTTTCAAGACAGGGTTTCTCTGTGTAGTCCTGGCTGCTGTCCTGATACTCACTCTGTAGACCAGGCTGGCCTCGAATTCAGAAATCTGCCTGCCTCTGCCTCCCAAGTGTTGGGATTAATGGCATGCGCCACCATGGCCCACGCCACCATGGCCCGGCTGAACTTGTTTTCTTAAGATAGACATCTTCTGTCTTTTTTCAGAACATAGTCTTACTATAAAATCACAGGACCATACATGAAATCATATGACTCTGCCTGGTTCAGCCTCCTGAGTGTTCGTATTGAAAATATGTGCACTTATATTGGAGTGAATAACTATTCCTTTAAAAATATTGATAGATTCACATCATCATCAGTTTGGATTTTATCCTATGTGAAAAAGAATGATTTTAAAAAACTTTGTTATTTCGCGTATCTGAAAGTTGTGCTTATTAATAATAAAGTTACTCTAAATTTATATTTCAATCAATGAGACATGGTTAGTCTGAAACTAGTCTATGAACATAAATATCACAAATATATATTTACAGGTAACAAGGAAACTACTAAATATAATAGAATAATACATAATAAAGTAATCATGAACATTAATCTTAAAGAAAGGGTAAATATTTACCAATATTTTCTGAAGTTATAAAACTTTTGGTAAAACTTTATTTTACTTCTATAATGATATGCGCTATTGCATATATAGTACTAAAGGTGAGAGACAATATTAATTTCTTACCATACCTGGAGAACACTATGGGTAGTTTCAAGATTTGCCAGTATAAAAAAATGTACTTAATCAGAAAATCCAGAAGCAAGAAAACAGGAAAAAGTACTGCTAGTTGTTACATAAACAGTCTCTTAGTCCAGGAACAAAACCGCATTGCTTTTATTCTGGTGAGAATACTGGGGGAACTTTTGTGCAAGGAAGAATCATAACTCGTCAAGTGTTTTGAAAACAGGAGTCTAGATATAAAAAGGAATTAGGAAACAGGCAGAAGAGAATAGGAGAAACAGAAACTAGAGAGGTGATGTCCACGATGATGTGTGACCCTATAGAGATTAAGAGAATTCTGTGTCTACTTCCCTTCTTGGTCTTAAATCATGTGTTACATGTTGGAGATACACAAATACACACAAAAGATTAGTGATCCTTACTAACTTTCTCTTACCAATAAATATTGCTCCCCTATCAAATTCAAATTAAAAATAAATATTTTATGAGGAATATAGCAAAAACAAGTCAGCATATACAACTGAGAAACTGTGTCCACTGTTAAGCAGCTCATTAGTTGGAAGTGCATGCAGGTCATTAAGTACTTCCAAACCAGTGTCAGCTAGACACCAAGTTCAAAAAAAAACCTGTGCTAAACAAATGTGTTTCATTGACCCCCCTGTCACTCAACTCTCCTCTCTAACACCTTATAAAACACAGCATTTGTGTGGCAAGTCTATGTGATTTATTTTGAGTTCCTTGTGGGACTTAATCCCAACTAAACAAATGCTAGGTAAGTCGGCAAATTAGCATTTCTTTCATTTTACTCATATATCTTGTCACTACAGCTATAAAGAGAATGCCATGAGATTATCCAGAATCCAACGTGACC